AAAGACTGATCCCTCCATCCCCTCAGAGGAAGGCAAGTAAAGTAGCCACTGGTATCCTGGGAATTTGTGGTTGGATTAGGCGCCCTGAGCTCTCTTAAGAGACCAAATCCCAGGGTAGAAGTAACGGTTCCATTGACTAGGAAAGAAAGCTGTTTTTCTTTTGAACTATGAAAAGACCCTACTTGTGAAGWCCTTTTAGAAAGAAGAGAAGAAGTATATCTGCGGAACTTTGTTCTGTTTTCTGCTACAAAAATGTGAATAGTTCAAAGAGTAAAAATCTTTTTTAATGATTGATGTCTCAGGAATAAGCTGGATCTCCAGTGTTTTGGGGATGCTTTGAGTCAAATTGATAATCAGAAAAGTATTTTTTGTTTGTKTGTTTGTTTAATGTATCCCTGTTCTGATTTTAATTAAACTCAAAATTTCGCTTTACATAGTCTTAGAAAAACTTAAATTGCACTGTCATTTACATAAAAAGCTTGCTCAGGACCTATTTGTACCTAGAGCTTGGTTCTTTGGGAGTGAAGCTTTTTATTCTTCATATGCTGGTGGTGGCATCCTGTGGAATCTGACTCCAGCTGGCAGCAAGCAGGTGTCAGTGGGCAGAAGAGTATGCTTTTCTTGATTTTATTGTTGCCTCCGAAAACTTGGGCTCCTCACTTGCCCACAACAGGAAATGGATTTAAAACATGACCATTTGAATAGTATCAAAATACCATTTGCCCCTTTCTCTCCATCTTGGGGAATCTCGGCACATGACCCTTAATCAGAGGATATGTTTCTAGAATTTGTTGAGCGTCTCCTGTGTCATGCAGGAGCTGCCTAGTCCCTTGACCTTTTCCTACCAGAACCTCCTCACTGCTTGGAGTATTTCTTTCCTGGAGGCTACCATTACTAAACATACTCTGATCTCCATAAACCAGCATGGCAAAAATAATTGCACAAAACAACAGATAAACTTCCAGTAGATGGCATCTTTATGTCATGCCTCATAGAATCACTTTCAGAGCAAGCCAGAATCTAATACGTAGTGCTCTGGGTGTTTAGAAGGAACCTCCCAGATGAAGCCCTAAGTGAATATTATTCCTGACTTTCTCTTGGGGAGGAAACACCATAAGTTACTATCTGAATGAGAGTTCTTAAAATCTTAGTAACTATTTATACTTTTTATTTTATGAGGAAACCATGTTTCTATACTTCTGGGACAATCAATCTTCATGACAAATGACCTAGACAGACATATACTCTTATGGTTTTGTCTTCTTTGCAGAAGCAAAGGGTTCCCCAGCTCTCATATTCTGTATTATTTGGTGTATCATTCATGAGAGCACAGGAGTAGAAACTAGTTGGCTTCTAGGTGTTGGGCTTCCAGGCCAAGTTTTTTCCTATCTGTATTAGTTTTCTGGCTTTATAAGAAATTGCTTCCAAATTTAATAATATAGCAAATGTTATCAGTTCTGTAGGGTAGGAGTTTGGGTGTAGCTTAGCATAGTGGTTCTAGCACAGGTCTTATAGAGTTGCAGGCAAGATCTACACAGGGCTTGCTGTCACTCTGGAGCTAGGCAAACACTACCTACTGAGCTGCATCCTCAACCTGAGAATCCACTTTCAAATTCCATCTTTGTAACTGTTGGGCAGGCTGCCTCAATTTTCTCCCCGCGTGGATCTCTGCAGAGCAGCACAAGTATCTTCATACCATGATGCCTGGCTTCTCCCTGACATTAGAGGGAGGCAGGGAAAGAGAAAATTGTGGTACCCTTAAACCACACTCCCAACAGAAGATGAAACCAGGGCTGGGGATATGGCTCAGTTGGTAGTGTGCTTGCCTTGCATGCACAAGGCCCTGAGTTCGATCCCCAGCACCACAAAAAAAACAAAAACAGGTCAACAGGGAGGTAGGTTTAATCTAAGTGAACTATATTGCTACCAAAAACAATTCTCTAAAGTATGTATCACCAAGCTAGGGTAAGACAAACCTTCTATTCCCCAAAGCTACCTGATGGCTTTGAGAGAGGTAGCAAGAAATGGCAGTTCCCAGGAGAACTGTAATATATGTACACCCGTCTGACTACTAGCTGCTCAAGGATGCTTATGTGCAAAGCTTAGATTTGGTCTCTAAGACTCATTAACCACTTTACTTTCTTTTAGCCAGTAATCGATGGAAGGAATTGGGTCTACCACTAAAGCTGTCTTAAAATGGGGATTGTCAAGCAAAGGGAGTAAATCTGAATTAGATGTTAGGTTATAGAACCGAAGACAGGAAAGATTCAGGATGAAACAGATGATAGTGTCAGGAAGCCAGGTCCCTACATGAGTCGGTGTATGATACTTGTTATCTTCAGCTACACCAGCTTGCAGGCTTGAGTTAGTTCTCTCACCCAAGAAGCACCTTCACTTTACCAGGGAACACCTGAGAATGACAGCCATCTTTCTGTGCTTGATTGCCCTGTTAAGCCTATGTGTAGGTGGCTCTGTGTGCTCATTTTGTCCTGGGCTTCTTGATGTCATTGTGTTCTTAAAACGAAGCAGTTTTCTTTTTCACCCTCAAGAGAAACCTAGAGGCCATTTGTCAGTCAGCACATTTCTGGTGAATGTCTACTTTGGGTTTCTGGCACTTGTTCCCAGCCAAGTCTTTAGCAATTTCAGACATCTTAAAAGATGCAAATTCTTGTTTGGATTTACACTGAGCTCCTGAGCATTTCCTTTTCTGTAGCTGTGCTTGCTTTAGCCTGTACTTGAATAAGAAGCCTTGTTGCTGAGGCAGTCATAAGCAAAGTACAGGGCTCATCTCTGAAGCACCTTCCATTGATTTTGGTTTTCCTGCTGATTTGGAGTGGAATAAAAGTAAGTGGTCTTTTATTTATTTATTGGCTCTTTTGGAACTCTCAGGCTTTATCCCACATTCCATCAGAATTCAGCTAGGATTGTGGGGTTTTCCCCCTAGTCCTTCCTGAAGCCAGAGAAAAGAGAGTCCCTGCTTTGATCCAAGGTAACCGATGTAAAGGGCTCACATTGGTAGCAGTGTCCCAGAGATGGGATCTCTTTCCTTGCTATTCATTGTGGATGCCAGCTTCTGGAAGCTGGGACATGGCCCTTTGCATTCTCCTCAAGAGAAGGCCTCACTCTCTGGTTCAAGACTGTCCCTCCTTGGCATGTTTTTCGGACTATAGGTATGTAGAAGCAATTTAATAATCTGCGAAGCCCA